AGAGCACTTAATGGAGCTGGTGCTCAGGAGCCTGGCGCATGCTCAAGAAAGGCTCCCAGTGGGCTGCCTGTCTGCCTAGAACATCTGTCCCTCCTTGCCCCAGCCCGCCCCCCACAGGCTGATGAGTTCTTATCCAAGGCCCATCTCCCAAAAGTCTTCCCTGATCATTTCATCTAAAGCTCTTCACCGCCCCTGCCCCACCCCCAGCACACACTATCATTTCCCCTTGTCTCACAAAATTCATGAATGTAGGAATAGCAGAAATGTTCTTGATCATTTGTTTGTTAGGTCACCTTCACTAGAATAAAAGTTGCTCAGAGCGGCTCCTAGCAGGGGGTTGGCATTCTAGTGAAATAAACTGCCCTGAGGGTCCCTTTACTTGTTGCATTCCACCCCCACCACCCAATTATGGCCTCCTCTGGCATCCTAGGTCTCTGCACCCTAAATCCTCACAGAAAAGCAGTTATTAAATGTGCCTTCTACAGCCAGGTGCAGGCTCAAGCCCACCACCCTCTACTCTGCCATCTACCACCACTGCCAACTGAGACCAGTCTCTGCCCCTATTCCAGCTGTCTGAATAGAGGCAGCCACCCGTCCTCAGTACCCAGCCCAGAGCCCTGCCAAGGCCCAGGAGGCCCCAGCCTCAGTCCAACCAGGCAGGGGAAAGGCTTTTTTAAGTGGGGCTGCTGGCCCAGTTCCCACCCTTCCCAGAACCAGGCCAGCCACAGTGGGGAGGAGGCCAGGGCCCAAGTAGAAGGCAGTTCTAAGAATTATGGGGAGATTGGGGGAAGGGAGGGAACGAGGGTGACAACCCATCATTAAACCCAGATTTGGCTGATACCACCAGACCCAGCAGTCTGCGGCTCCTGCCTCAGGTGCTAGGCTCCCAAGTCAACGTTCCCAGAACACATTGCAGTTAACACAGAGAAAAGGAACAAAAAAGCTGGGGTGGTCTGACCCGGGACCAAAGTGGGAAAAAGACAAACCAGGCAAGCAAAGCAAAATTCAGCTTTAGCCCAGCCCCATCCTCATCACCCTCTCCCCCTGCCAGTGCACAGCTCCGTCACCTCTGACCTCTTGGCTCCCAGATGGGGAACGGGGGATGAGGTATAACCTGGTGTCTAAGAAACAAGCTTTCACTTTCCTAACCCCCAGGACACCATGAAAACTGTCCGTCTGAAAGCGTACTGACCCATCCCTTGGGATGGCAAGAGGAAAGAGAATTCCTGCCAAGGAACCTAGAAGATTGGGGAGCTCCTCCAGTCATGACTCTCAAAGGCCAGCTCAGGGAACTGCGGGTTTGGGCTGAGGGTCAATCCCAATCTGCCAGTGTTTAGTCATGTGACCTGGGATGAGCCACCCCAAGCCTCAACTTCTGTTCCACGGAGAGGGCCTAAGCTGACCTGGTGGTGGTGAACAATCAATGAGCTCATTCAACCAGCAAACTCAGCATGGGCCTGACCAGGACATCACCCTAGAAGCAGAGCCCTGGGGCAAGTGGGGTGTAGGTGCCTGATTTGATTCCCTTCTTGGTGATCCACCCATTACCCCATCATAAGCCTCCAAGACACAATGAACAAAACTTTATATACTCACCTCTGGGGAGCTGGTGCCTGGGAAGCCACTGTATAAGATGGTGGTTGTGAGGGCCCATTCTCTGGGTTTGAGCCTCAAGGCTCTGGTAATAATAAGTGGGGAAAGATTCTAGGACCCTTAGATACTAAGGTAAGGGCAGTTAGGCTGCTTCTCTGAAGATATATGGGGTGGGGGTGTGCAGGGGCCACCCCCATGGTAAACAAGATGCCCGAGCTAGGTGTTCCCAAGCTGCCCACACAAACACCCACCTGGCAGGCCGGCGCCTTGAAACAGCCGGCAGAGGCTTGCCCAAAGGGTAGGTTGGGAACCAGAGCCTGATGGGAATGAGGTGTGGGAAAGAAGAAACTCCCCAGATTTGGCCCAGAACTAACATCTTGCCGGGAAAGGGGGTTACATCTTGGCACGTGCCTTTCGATCAACACTTGTTTCTCGGGACCTGCTTCCACATCCCCACTAGACTAGCCCAAAAGCTCCGCCTACCCCCACTCCCAAAGCTCCTACAGTAGTTCCACAACTCACCTGATCTCCCCGGTATCTGGCCTTTCCCCCTCAACAGCTTTCCAACTCTAACCTCAGGTGACCCCTGCAAACATCTCTGGGATCTCCTAGCCTTCCGCCCGCC